ACTTCAACATTAGTGAGAAATAATCAATATTTCTCTTGTGACTCAGAAAAACACTATAGTTAGAAGCAACAAGGTCACTAAATGTAGATGTCAACTGCACATATTAAAATAGACATTGCATTATGTACAGTAGTCATCAAACTTACTTAGTCATGTAGTAACACATTTTTCATTGCTGTGTTCAATGTATGTGGCAATATTGAATATTAAAAGAAATTATTTTATCATAAAGTAGATAGTAAAAAAAATTACCATACGATTATGACCTTATGTCTATAAAATATGAATTTTCATTTTGCCTTTTTATAAAGTTTGTGTACTATTTCAATATTTAAACTGTATTTTCTTTTTGTTAAATATATTGATCTGCAATGATGTATTAATAGTAACTTTTTTGTTAATGATTTAATGTTTCTTATATAACAGAAATTTGAGAAGAACATGCTGACATAATTATAAAATTTTTTAGAATATGTCGAAGATTTTTACATTCTGACATGTCCAGTTCACCAGTTCCCATACCTTTCTCAAAGAAAAAGTTTATAGCTCATTGTCAACAACTTATTGACAATCCGGGAAAATTAAGTAATGAGTTTCAGTTGCTTCAAACTCTTAGCTTGGATTTGCAAATGCCAACAAATAATGCCTGCTTGCAAGCTAATAAAAAGAAAAACAGATACTCCGACATTTTGCCATGTATGAATTTATATTTAAATAATTATGTTGTAACTAGATTGAACAAATGTTATTAAATCTATCTTCTGTTTCTAGATGATTTTTCAAGAGTAAAATTAGAAGTAATTGATAATGATCCTAATACCGACTATATCAATGCATCCTTCATAAGAGTAAGTACATAAAAATATTAAGGCACTACAATAAATATGATGTACTTATATACTTTATTGATAATATTTTAGGGTTATACGGGGGAAGATGAATATATAGCTTGTCAAGGTCCAAAGGAAGAAACAACATTTGATTTTTGGAGAATGATGGAACAGTATAACATTAACATTATTGTTATGTTAACTCAGTTAGTTGAAAAGGGCAAGGTAAAGTATAGGTCATAATATAATAAATATGTGTAAATAAAATGTAAAATAAATATATTTTTACAGGAAAAATGTTATCAGTACTTTCCAACGATTAGAGAAACTTTTAGATATGAAAATATGACTATAAAATGTATAAGTGAATTAGATTATAGATCCTATACACAAAGGACATTAGTGTTACAAAAGGTAAGCATTTTATATTTACTACAAAATATGTTTGTATTTTGAATCGTGCTGATTACAAATAATATATTACAGGAAAACAAAAAACGACATGTAATACACTTACA